CACCTGGGCATTGAGATATACTATATCCAACTTGGGTATTATCCTTGATACTCGCCCCACCCTGGAGCACTGAACAGAGCTCCCTGGCTACACTCAGCACACACCTTTTGATATTCACTGAAAGTGCAGACATTCCACTAAGCAACAGAGGCATAGCTCAAATATGAAAGCCATCAGAGGAAAAAAGAATTCAACTCCACAAATGCCTAAAAACAAATCCAGAAATTCTAGAAACAAGAATAAGGAAGACACCATGACACCCCTCAAAGGTAAACAACAACATTTCAATATTAGAATGCGAAGATGGAGAAACTGAGGAAATGCCAGAAACGGAATTCAAAAAATTAATCACAAGATTACTCAAAAGCAAGCAGAAGCAAATCCATGCTAAAGAAAACCATACATAACATGAAAATTTTTCCCATGAAATTGAGATTTTAAAGATAAATCAAAATGAAACATTAGAAATGAATTCAATTGATCAAACATAAAATGTGGTAGAAAGCTTTGACAGCAGACTTGGTGAGGTAGAAGACAGAATATCCAAACTGGAAGATAAATCTTTGGAAATCATAGTTGGACCAAAAAAAAAAAAAAAAAAAGAAGAAGAAAATACAAAACATAAAAACAATTTTGGAGATCTATGGGATACCATCAAATGACCCAACATATGGGTCTTAGGAATTCCTGAAGGTGTGAGAAGAGAACAGAATAGAAAGCCTATTTAGTGAAATAACTACAGAAAACATCCCTAATTTAGAGAAAGAGAAAGGGACAACCAAGTAGAGGAAGCACATAGATCTCCTGAAAGACATGACCAGAAAAGATCCTCACTGGTACACACCATAGTCAAACTTTCCATGGTAAAACATAAAGATTCTGAAATGTGCATGAGAGAAATGTCAGATCACTTTCAGAAGATCTCCAATTAGACTCACAGCTGAATTCTCATCAGAAACCATATAGGTTAGAAGGGAATGGTGAGATATATTACAAGTCTTAAAAGAAAAAAAAACTGTCAACATAGAATATTGTACCCCGCAAAGCTCTCTTTTACAAATGAAGGTGAAAAAAAGACCTTCCATAACAAATAGAAATTGAAAGAATTTGTCACCACTTGTCCAGCCATGCAAAGGATGCTTAAGGACATATTGCACACAGAAACATACACATTACTATGCAAGAATAAGAAGAGCTCAGTAAAACAAAGAGCTGGTTTTTTGAAAAAAAATTTTTTTAAAACTGATACACCATTAGCCCAACTAACCAATAAAGAGAGAAGACTCAAATCAATAAAATCAAAGATGAAAAATGAAATGTAACAAGAGATACCACAGAAATAAAAAATAATCAGAAATTACTGAAAAGAACTCTAAGCCAACAGATTGGGAAACCTAGAAGAAATGGTAGATTCCAAGACACAATCTACCGAAATTGAATATTGAACACAGAAAACCTAAACAGACCAATAATCAAGACAGAAACTGAATCAGTAATAAAGACTCTCCCAAAAAAGAAAAGCCCAGAACTGGATGGCTTCACTGATGAATTCTAACAGACATTTAAAAAACTAATTTCAATTCTTCTCAAACTATGCAGAACAATTGAAAGGGAGGGAATCCTCACAAACTCCCATGAAGTCTGCATCACTAATTCCTAAGTCAGAAATAGATACAGCAGAGAAAACTATAGACCAATATCCCTGACAAACATAGATAAAAAAAAAAAAAAACTCTCAGCAAAATATTAGTTAACTGAATCCAACAATACATCAGAAAGATCATTCTCCAGGACCCAAGTGGGATTTATCCCTGGTATGCAAGGAAAGTTCAACATTTGCAAATCAGTAAATGTGATATATCACTTTAACAAATCAAAGAACAAAAAACATATTGTTATCTCAATAGATGAAGAGAGATGAAAAACCTTAAACAAATTGGATATAGAAGGAACATTCCTCAACATAATCAAGACATTTTATGACAAACCATGGCCAGCATCCTAATGAATGGGGAAAAGCTAGAAGCACTCCAGCTAAGATCTGGAACCAGATAAAGATGCCCACTCTCATCATTGCCATTTAATTTAGTCTTGGAAGTTTTAGCTTGAGACATTAGTGTGGTGATATCAGATTTAATATATGAGTTTTTCATTCAGCCAGAGATAAAACTTAGCAACTGTTAATAGAAACATAATGGGAATCAGAACCGTGAATGCAAACAACATTGACCAAAAAGTTGGTACACAATGAGTGTTGGGCCAAGAGTGTAGACCTGAAGAACAGCAACATTAATTTGAAAAGTACAGGAATAGTAGATGACAAAGCAAGAGAAATTACAGAAAAAAAAAAACAGGAAAATCTGGCATGTATTTTGGAAGGCAAGGTAAAGGAGAGAAAGGAAGAAATTTCTCTTCATTCATGTCAAGAAAGGAGAGATCAAGAACATCCATTTCGTATGACAGTGCACATACAGAGGAAACTCACCAGATACTCCGACCTGAGAAAAAAAGATACTCTGATTCAGTTAGACTGGTGGGAATGGAAGTCAACTGTGCATCAGGATTATGGGCAACAATTCTTTAAATGTCATGATGCAATTCTAGGAGAACCCTTCAGGTATTTCCTGAACTTCTTGAAAACTGAGTCACTGCTTTAGTTATCTATAGGCATAGCTGGCTGGTGATATCACAGACTTCCACTTGTATGTCAGTCTAAGAGTTCCTCTTTGTCAAAGTACTAAAAATTTCAAAAAAATATAGTATTATAATCTAAATCTGGCATGTCGCTGGGTTTTACTGAGTACCCTACGTCAATTTTCTACCAACTGGCATTTCTACATCAGTTTTTTTTTTTTTTTTTTTTTGACAGGCAGAGTTAGAGAGAGAGAGACAGACAGACAGACAGACAGACAGAGAGACAGGTCTTTCTTCCGTTAGTTCACCCCCCAAATGGCCGCTACAGCCAGTGCACTAGGCCAATCTGAAGCTAGGAGCCAGGTGCTTCCTCCTGGTCTCCCATGCAGGTGCAGGGCCCAAGCACTTGGGCCATCCTCCACTGCCTTCCTAGACCACCCTCCACTGCCTTCCTGGACCACAGCAGAACGCTGGACTGGAAAAGGAGCAACCGGGACAGATTCCGGCGCCCCAACCAGGACTAGAACCCGGGGTGCCGGCGCCGCAGGCAGAGGATTAGTCTAGTGAGCCAGGGCGCCGGCCTCAACTGGCATTTCTAAAATATCCTATTTTGCATGTACACACACATATATTCAGAATTTTCCTAATTTTCAAGAATGTGTTCTTTTTAATCAGTCCCTTACAGTGTGTTCCCAAGTCATTAATATTTTGACCTGTTGTTTTCCACTTACATGATTTCTTTTTATTTGAGAGGCAGACAGAGTGAGCAAGCTTCTATCCGCTGGTTCACTTCCCAACTGTCCCCAGTGGCCAAGGATGGGCCAGGCTGAAGCTACGAACTGGGAACCCATCTAGATCTCCCATGTGGTTGGCAGCCACCAACCCACTTGAGACATCAGTATTGTCTCTCCCAGGGTCTGCACTGGCATTAAGTTAGAATCGGAAGTTGGAGCTGAGACTGAAACCCAGGCACTCCCATACAGAGCACAGGTATTTTAAATGCTAGTGCAAACATGTGCCCTTCCCCCTACTAGATTTTTTTTTAACAAAGGGCCTCAATTTTCTACCTTATCTGAACCTTCAGTTGTATCTTTTCACGTTGTGCTTCCCCCAACCCTTCCTTACTCTATTCTAGTTACACTGGCCTTCTTACTATTCCTCACACATAGGAGACCCACTCCAACCTTTGGATCTGTACATTTGAAAACCTCTGTGGAATCCTGAGAGATATCTGCATGGCCAACATGGATGTTTGCATCTGAAATCCAACCAAGTGTCACTTCAAAGGGCCATATAGGTAATCACTTTACAACTATAAACCTCAACCTATATTCACCATTCTGCAGTATGATGATCTGTTTTTTCCCCAAATATTATTTTTAAATATTATTTTCTTTTTATACTAGAATAAAAAGTACTGAGCTAAATTATTTTATATACATATTTTTTAGATGTCCCATGTCTTAGGAGACCCACCTGGCATAGCGGGTATTCAACAGATCTCTGCTAAATAAACATGTACAATTCTAATATGAATAGGGGAAACTAGTAAGGACTCTGGACTGTGGAGCTATTTGTTTCTACTTAAATTGTATAGGGGCCGGCACTGTGGCATAGTGGGTAAAGCCACCTCCTTCAGTTCTGGCATCCCATATGGGCATTGGTTTGAGTTCTGGCTGCTCCACTTCTGATCCAGCTCTCTGCTATGGCCTGGGAAAGCAGTAGAAGATAGCTCAAGTTGTTAGGCCACTGCACCCACTTGAGAGACCCAGAAGAAACTCCTGGCTCTTGGCTTTGGATCTGCACATCTCGGGCCATTGAGGTCAATTGGGGAGTGAACCAGTGGGTGGAAGAGCTCTCTCTCTCTCTCTCTCTCTCTGTACCTCTGTTTCTCTCTCGGTGTAATTCTGAATTTCAAATAAATAAATAAAACCTTGAAAAAACTGTATAAACCATTGCAGATTAAATAATGAAGGAATTAATGGCATATGAGAAAAAATGTGTGAGGAGAAAGAAAATTTAAGGCAGTTATGATAGGGCAGGGAATGAATGAAAGGAGTTTGTCTTAAAAGATCACAGACCTATGTAAAGGATAATGGGAGAGAGTGGGGGTATCTAAATGAGACAGGGCATATAGTAGGAAAAAGAGGTTTGAGGACCGAAAAAGTAAAGTCAAAATGTTCACAGCTTTGAAAATACTGAGGCTGAGGCTGAAGTGAAAATGTTATGTACAAATACAGGTATCCAACACAAAACTGTACAAAGTGCAGGATTTTGAAAGAGAAATTGAAAACGTGATTTAGATGTTTACAAGGAATTGCAGCATGCAATGTTCATGTACTTAAATTTATTAATATTTTACTTACCTGATCTAGGTTTGATAGACTGTTTGGATCTTGACTGAGAGCTTGGTACTGGCCCCTGAGCCTGTCACCTGCTGCAATCCTCCTAAACTTCTTCAGATCCACTACATATAAGGCACTGCAAAAATTAATACTTCTTGATAGCCTGTGTTGGTTTTATAGTTTTACTCCCCCAGCAGGCCAGGAAATGTCTACAGTGGTCATTAATTTAAATTTAGATACCCTATGAGCTAATAATAATGAATCCTTTCATTGCCTCATACTGTTACTAAGGGGTTTGATGTTTGTTATTATTTTGGTAGGATTCATCATCTTCCAGAGTCAACTCAAGTTTTTCCAAATTAACATGAAACTCATGGCTCCACAATATAGTAACAACTCTAAAGATACTATTTTCATTTTGTTATATGGCAAGCCAAGTTTAAATTTTTAGTAGTTGAGAACATGCCCATGAGCTTATCACTGTGGTTTACCTTCTGTGTCAGCTAAGTACCAGCAGGGTAAGCCTAGGCAAGTCACATAAATGCCATATGCTTTAGTTTCCATCTTCAGAAAATGGAAATTAATACTAGTCTCACAAAACATAATTATAAACATTTTATGGGTTAATATATGCAAAGGCTTATAAGAATAACTGGCAGGTAGTAAGTACTATATAATTGGTTGCCATCATTGTACAATTTCCAAGAAAAAGGCATGTTGTGATTCCATGCATTTTTTATTTACTAGATGGTAGAGTATGAATGCTCTTACCTGATATGGTATTTCCTTCTTAAAAGATGTGATGCCCAGTATCCTGTTTTCCAGAAACGATATCCATCCATGTCAGTGCGGCTATCACAGAAGGGAGTGTACCCATAAGGAGCTCCATCCAGATCAAAATCTCGAAGTTCCTTTAGATCATGTCTCACAATCTAAATAATTGAAATAGCATATCTAATGATGACTGTAAAAATAACAAAACTTACTTTATAGGAATTTCAAATAATTTATTTTTTTATCATGGAGAGACAGAGACCCATTTTATCCAGAGTGATTTCACATAGCATAAATTTTTGCAATTTTAGTTTTTTCCTTTTGCTCTTACAGACTGTAAGAACCCAAAAGTTTATATTCCTAATCTTTATGAGAGTAGTCATTCAGATCAATACCATTGCTGTATCATTTTCAAGCAAAATATCTTATATAAATATATTTTAGGTAAGGGTCACATACTACTCAAGTGTACAGCTCTTGGTTTCTTAAAGTATAAATTAATAATTAAAAACCATTTTTATGTTAAATCTCCATTATTATGTATTGGCAAATACTAGTTTCAACTAAAGAAAAATTTCCTGATCACTCTAAATAACCTTACAATATAAGTTTTTTTTTAAATAGGCTCAAGCCTGGTATAAAAATATCTGAGGTTGGGGGGAAGATAGGAGAATGAATTATTTACTATATTTGGAAATGCTTACTTCATCATCTACATTTGACTGTTTTCTTGGTAAAACTTTTTCATTAATATAAAGAAAACAGATTTTATAGGTATAATTCTAAGATAACCACACAAACCTCCTTTCCTCACTTCTGCCCTCAACCCCCATCCTTCCTTTTTTAATTTTTACAAAAAGGTAATTTAAAAAAAATTTTTATTATTTTTTTAAGATTTTTATTTACTTACTTGACAGGTAGAATTACAGACAGTGAGAGAGACAGAGACAGAAAGGTCTTCCTTCCATTGGTTCACCCCCTAGATGGCTGCAATGGCCGGAACTACGCTGATCTGAAGCCAGGAGCCAGGAGCCAGGAGCTTCTTCCCAGTCTCCCACGTGGGTGCAAGGGCCCAAGGACTTGGGCCATCCTCTACTGCCTTCCCAGGCCACAGCAGAGAGCAGGACTGGAAGAGGAGCAACTGGGACTAGAACCCGGCACCCATATGGGATGCCAGCACCGCAGGCAGAGGCTTAACCTAGTGCGCCACCACGCCAGCCCCAACAAAAAGGTAATTTCAATCTACTCTATAATCAGAGGCTAAAGCATCACTAACCATAATATCCAACATGTAAAAAAAGTAGAAAGACCGCAGTCCCACAGGAGTATAAACAAGGCTAAAAACAATTAAACCACAAGATTTCAATTTCATTCCTATATACTTCTTTGTACTCTATATAAACTACCACATATTAGAAAAAAACATATGACATTTATCTTTTTGGGACTGGCTTCTTTAACAAAGCCTAATTGTTTCTAGTAAGATCCATCTTGTTGTAAAAGAATTTCATTCTTTTCTATGGCTGAGTATTATTCCATAGTGTATATACTCCACATTTTCTTTATCCAGTCATCAGTTGACAGACATCTGAGCTAATTTCATATCTTAGCTATAGTGAATTGAACTGGCATAAACATGGGGTTTTTTCTTTCATATGCCGATTTCATTTCTTTGGGGTAAATTCCCAGGAAGGGTGGGTCATATGATGTATTTATTTTTAGAGTTCTGAAGAATCTCCTTACTGTCTTCTGTAATACTGTACTAGTTTATAGTCTCACCAACAGTGTGTTAGGGTACCTTTCCTCCTACATCCTCACCCGTATTATTTTTTGATTTTTGGATAAGAGCCATTTTAACTGGTGTGAGGTAAAACCTCATTGTGGTTTTTATTTACATTTCCCTGATGGCTAGTGATCCTGAGCATTTGTTGGCCATCTGAATTTCATCATTTGAAAAATGTCTGTTCATGTCTTTGCCCATTTCTTAATTGGATTGTTTGGTTGTTGTTGAGTTTCTTGAACACTTTATAGATCCTGGTTATTAATCCTTATCAGTTGCATAATTTGCAAAACATTTTCTCCCATTCTGTTGGTTGCTTCTTCACTCTCTTGATTGTTTCCTTTGCAGTACAGAAGCTTCTTAGCTTGATGTAAACCCATTTGTCAATTTTGTCTTCATTGCCTATACTTCTGGGTTTTATTCCAAGAAGCCTTTGCCTATGCCAATGTGTTGCAGAGATTCCCCAATGTTTTCCTCTAGTAATCTGATGGTATCAGGTTACAGATGCAGATTCTTGACCCATTTATTTGATGTTTGTATAAGGTATAAGATAGGGGTCTTGTTTCATACTTCTGCAAGCGTAGATTGAATTTTCCCAAATTTGTTGAAGAGACTGTCCTTTCTCCAGGGACTGATTTCAGCTCATTTGTCAGAAATTAGTTGGTTGTAGATGTGTGGATTAATTTCTGGGATTTCTACTTTGTTTCAGTTTGTTTATTTTTGTGCCTGTACCAAGGCGTTTTGATTAAAACTTCTCTGTGGTATATCTTGAAATCTGGTATTGTGATGCCTCCAGCTATATTTTTGTTGTTTAAGATTGCTTTAGCTATTTGGTACCTCTTGTATTTCCATGAATTTTAGTACAGATTTTTCTAGCTCTGAGAATGTTGTTGATATCTTGATTAGAATCACATTGATTCTGTGAATTACTTTTGGTAGTATGGACATTTTGATGACAGTATTGCTTTCAACCTATGAACATGGACTATTTTTCTATTTTTGCATGTCTTCTTCAATTTCTTTTATATTTTATAATATTCATTGTAGAGATATTTCATCTTCTTGGTCAAATTTATTCCAGGGTATTTAATTTTTTGTAGCTACTGTTACTGGGCTGATCTTACAAGTTTCTTTCTTAGCCATGGCCTTTTCTGTGTATACAAAGACTACTAATTTTTCTGTGCTGATTTTATATCCTACAACTTTACCAAACTCTCTTATTAAGAGTTCCAATAGTCTGTTAGTGGAGTATTTTTGTTCGTCAATGTACAGACTCATGTCATCTGCAAACAAGGATAATTTGACTTTCTCTTTTATAACTTGTATCCCCCTTTGATTTTCTTTCCTTGCCTAATGATGCTGGCTAAAATTTCCAGAACTATATTGAATAGCAACAGTGAAAGTGGGCATTCTTTTATGATTCTGTATCTTAGTGGAAATGCTTCCAACTCTTTCCCATTAAATATGATGAAGGCTGTGGGTTTGCCATGTATTGCTTTGATTGTGTTGAGGAATGTTCCTTCTATACCCAATTGACTGAGGTTTTTATCATGAAAGGATGTTGTATTTTATCAGATGCTTTCTCTGCCTCTATTGAAATAATCATATGGTTTTATTCTTCAGTCTGTTAATATGATGTATTACATTGATTGATTTGCATATATTGAACCATCCCTGCATACCAGGCATAAATACCACTTGGTTCAGGTGAATCATCTTTGGATGTGCTGTTGTATTTGATGAGCTAGTATCTTGTTGAGGGTTTCTGCACCATGTTCATTAGGGATATTTGTGTGTGTGTGTGTGTGTGTGTGTGTGACAGGCAGAATGGACAGTGAGAGAGAGAGACAGAGAGAAAGGTTTTCCTTTGCCATTGGTTCACCCTCCAATGGCTGCCGCGGCCGGCACACTGCGGCCGGCGCACCGTGCTAATCCGATGGTAGGAACTAGGTCCTTACCCTGGTCTCCCATGGGGTGCAGGGCCCAAGGACTTGGGCCATCCTCCACTGCACTCCCTGGCCACAGCAGAGAGCTGGCCTGGAAGAGGGGCAACCGGGACAGAATCTGGCGCCCCGACCGGGACTAGAACCCGGTGTGCCAGCGCCGCAATGCGGAGGATTAGCCTAGTGAGCCGCGGCGCCAGCAGGGATATTTGTTTACTATTCTGTTTCTTTGTTGTATCTTTATCTGGTTTTGTAATTAAGGTGATGCTGGCCGCATAGAAGAAGTTTGGGAGGATTTTCCCCCTTCCAATTATTTTGAATAGCTTGTGGGGAATTGGGATTATTTCTTCTTTAAAAGTCTGGTAGGCTAGATTTCAGGACATACTACAGGGCAGTTGTAATTAAAACAGCATGGTACTGGTACAGAAACAGATGGATAGACCAATGGAACAGAATTGAAACACCAGAAACCAACCCAAACATATACAGCCAACTTATATTTGATCAAGGATCTAAAACTAATTCCTGGAGCAAGGACAGTCTATTCAATAAATGGTGCTGGGAAAATTGGATTTCCACGTGCAGAAGCATGAAGCAAGACCCCTAGCTTACACCTTACACAAAAATCCACTCAACATGGATTAAAGACCTAAATCTACGACCTGACACCATCAAGTTACTAGAGAACATTGGAGAAACCCTTCAAGATATTGGCACAGGCAAAGAATTTCTGGAAAAGACCCGGGAGGCACAGGCAGTCAAAGCCAAAATCAACTATTGGGATTGCCTCAAATTGAGAAGTTTCTGTACTGCAAAAGAAACAGTCAGGAGAGTGAAGAGACAACCGACAGAATGGGAAAAAATATTTGCAAACTATGCAACAGATAAAGGGTTAATAACCAGAATCTACAAAGAGATCAAGAAACTCCACAAAAACAAAACCAACAACCCACTTAAGAGATGGGCCAAGGACCTCAATAGACATTTTTCAAAAGAGGAAATCCAAATGGCCAACAGGCACATGAAAAAATGTTCAAGGTCATTAGCAATCAGGGAAATGCAAATCAAAACCACAATGAGGTTTCACCTCACCCCGGTTAGAATGGCTCACATGCAGAAATCTACCAACCACAGATGCTGGCGAGGATGTGGGGAAAAAGGGACACTAACCCACTGTTGGTGGGAATGCAAGCTGGTCAAGCCACTATGGAAGTCAGTCTGGAGATTCCTCAGAAACCTGAAGATAACCCTACCGTTCGACCCAGCCATCCCACTCCTTGGAATTTACCCAAAGGAATTTAAATTGGCAAACAAAAAAGCGGTCTGCACCCTAATGTTTATTGCAGCTCAATTCACAATAGCTAAGACCTGGAACCAACCTAAATGCCCATCAACGATAGACTGGATAAAGAAATTATGGGATATGTACTCTTTA